GATGGCCATCTTTGATTGACCGAGGTCCTCCAGTAAGATCCATCTTAGCCCAGCAAGCTGTTGCCAACAGAGGACAGGCGAGAAGCGTCGCCACTGGGAATTTACCCACCTTCGGTTTTCTCCCTCTCTTGGGCTCTGTTTCGCCAGGGCCTGGCAGCCACGCAAAGAGCTCCGTCCTGCTGCCGGCCGTCGTGGGTTCCGCCGTGCCTCCTTCTTCCTGCGGCGGCACAGAAACCGTCGGTAATTAATTGGCAGATCTGGGGGGGTCACTGCACAGTGTGTCGGCCTGTCAGGATTATCAAAGCCAGGCTCCCAATCAGCCAGGATTAGCCGCCGCTGGGCCTCCCCTGAGTAGATCAGAAGGGGACTCGTGGCACTGGATCAGTGTAATAGAAGTTCCCTGGGGGAGCCCTTTGCAGCATTAGTGGGTAACAGAATTAGCTACCGGGGTAGCTGAGAGTGGAGAGAGGGAAGGATCACCTCTCCCCCTCTCTCTGAGCGCACAGATGCCATAGGATAAATAGTCCTCACAGGAGACTTTTAAAACAGATGGTGGATGCCATACTTTCTCACACGTGTGTCCCAGAGGCTCCTGGGAAAGGTGGCAAGGAAGGCCCCGCTGGATCGAGCCAAAATGATCCCTCCAACTCTGGTCCTGCCTCCGGGGGCATGTGTGAAAGCGCCAAGCCCTTCCTGGTGTTTTGTCCCCCAACACTCGCTGCTCCGAGGTACCCTGCTCCTGACCATGGAGGCTCCATTTTATTGGCCCCGGCTGATGGCCATTCTTGGCCGTTCCCTTTCCTGCCTGTTTGGGGCAGTGCTGGAGTAGAGAAAGGAGGACCCGTAGCTCAAATCAGGCCCCCATAAACTGGATAGCCACCCCCTTTCCCTCACCTTCCGGCCGTCAGAGGGGTTCCCGGCTCTGGTGTTTTCTAAGGCATTCCCTGCATGTAGAAAGCTAGCAGGTCAGGATGGAGGAGAGGCTGACATGCGGCTTGTTCCCACATGTGGGGAGCGGCTTTGTACAAGGGAACATGATTGCTTGCCCAACGTGGTACAGCCCCAAACCTGCTTGGGGGATTGCTGCTTGGTGGGAAAGGTGGACAGGGTGGGGGAGAGAGGGACTTTAGAGGGACAGCTGCCGAATTTGCCTTTCTACATTTCTCTATGCACTTTCCTCATACCTACCCTGGGAGTCAAAAACGAGTAGGAGGGAGCGCCCTTCTTTCAGTCCCGCTCCCCGAAATGTCACCCATCCCTGCACCCCAATCTGTCCCCTAACGCCTTGCTTGCATCCTCCTCCTTCCTCTGGCATTTTGCGGAAAAATTGGGCTCGCTCTCTGATTGCAAGTATCACAATTCAGAGGTGCATTGCCTCTAAATCATTCATCCGCCATCCTGTAGCGATGCCTCTTTCCCCCTTTTTGACAACAAAATCGGGCTAAAAGCACAGACCCCGTGGAGCAAATGGAAGAAGCAACGAGCATTTAAATCACAAGGACGATGACACACTCACTTGCCGAAGATCGCATGGATTTAAAAAAAGCTGTTCTGAACTGGCACAGCAAAGGGGAAAGCGCAGGTGCCCAGTGGCTATTTTGGAGGAGATTTTGCAGAGTTGGGGGGCCACCACAGAGAAATTCCTGATTGCCATCTGCAGAAGCAGTTAGTGGCCAGGTCACTAAGGATCGTATTTAACCTGTGGAAGGAAAGTGTTCCCCCTTCCGTCCACCTGCCTTGGTACCAGGTAGACCCCTAAACCTGACCAAATGCTGAGAGAGACACCATCTTTGGGCATTGCTCCTTTCATTGCCCATCAGAAGAATCTCCTGTTCTAGCATTACAATCCTTAAGTTTCTAGTCCTCGTGGTTCACATGGGCTCCACAGAACCACTGGGCCCCCTGTGTGACTCCTTAGCAGAAGCAGCGAAATCAGTGCTTTTCTGTGGGGATTTACGTCTGTCTTGCCCCCGGAGGGTGTGGGGGAGAACAGAAGGGCTCCCGCCTCTGGAAGCCAAGCAGCAACGGGTGCCTCAGACGCGAACCCAGTCTGTGCGTGGCAGTGTCTGCGCCAGGACAACGCGGCGAGCGCCTCTGCGGCCAGCTCCCGTTTCGCACCCCAGTGCGGCCCCCGCCTCCCCGCGAGAGCGGGCGCCCCGTCCGAGCCGGGGAGGCGAATCGGAGGGTCACGGGGTGGGAGTGGCTGGCTCGGCAGGGCCGCCGGAGCCTTCCCAGCCTGACATCCTCCGGTCGCGGCCGTTCCAGGCGCGCCGAAGTCGACTGCGCCTGTCGAGTCCGATCTCGCGGGCCGTCAGTCAGCGGCGACCCAAACGTCCAAGGATGTTACTCAACAGGGCTCGGCTCCGAGGCTGCTGCCGCTTTGTAGGGCCATCCTTCAGAAAGCAGAAAACGTTGCACACGAGCGAAAATGACCACCGGGCTGTTTTCCTCCCTGAGCAATGCAGCTTTCGGGGAAAGGGAGATCGCAGGTTTCCTTTGCTGTCCGCGTCCCTCGTCTTGAAGGCTGCACGTTCCCGCCGTGCCCGTGACTGACGTGAGCCCAGCCTGGGTTGCGGTCTTGCCTGTGGATTTTTTGTGGGCTACAGAAAGCTGAGCCTAGCAGGGTTCCTGGGATTTCTGTTTGGCTGATTTGAATTCTTCAGCCTCTGAATTATTCTAGCCTGATCAGAGCAAATAGCGGTAACCTCTCTCAACCAGGGGACCTCCTGATGTTTGAGACTACAACTTCCGTCAGCCCCAGCCAGTGTTGCCAGTGATTGGGGATGAGGGGAGGTGGTGTCTGAACCTTCTGGAAGGGCCCGGGGACTGGGACGCAATGCACCGTTTCCCCTTTCCCCTCACAACAACCCTGTGAGGTAGGACGGGCTGAGAGAGATTGCGGCTGATTCCAGGAAGCCCCCTGAGTTTCAGGACGGAGTGGGGATTTGAAGAGGGCTGTCCAAGATACTCCACCTCTGAGCAATCGAATTCCTGCTTCTTGCCACCCTCCCCCAGAAAGCAGGGAAATCGCACGCTTGCATAAATTATGCAGATCAAGCATATTTACATTTTTCTCCTACCCCCGCCTTGTTTTAATTCTGGTTTTGCTGGCAGGCCTGTTCAGCCACTTTGCTTGGCTTCTGAGTTTTCGCCAGATAATCTATCAGGCTGGCTTTTGCCACCTGAAAAGCCAGAAACGCGGTGGATGCAGGCAGACACGCACCATAAAATCTAATCTCCTGAGCCGGAATCCCGCATCTCGGTCTGTGCTCCCATGGGATCATACGGAAGAGACGCAGCCCTGGTTTAGGGGATCCTGTTTCCACAGGGAATAGACTCCATTGAGATGAATGGCTGCTTGCGTAGAGACATGTTGATCCGGGGCGCCCTGCGCCCTCTAGTGGCCGTCTCGGATTCTACAGCCTGGCAGAAACAGGACCGCTGCTAAGGTGGGAACCCCAAATTCCTGGATGGGGGGAGGGTCAGCGTGCTCTGGAAAGGCAAGGTCTGTGTCAGGCAAAATTAAGAAATGGACTGAAAATAAAACTGCCAAGATCATCCTGCCCTTGGCGGATCTGTGGCCGGCGGCACTTAGGATATCAGGTTCTTTCTGGGCGCTGCCCCTGAAAAAGGGGGGTATTGTAAAGGGTGAGAAGGCAGCGGCAGCTCCCCGTGGAGAAAGGGGATAATGCCTGGGATTGAGCAAAAGGGGAGCGGAGGCGCGATGGAGCAGCACACGTGACGTGTGACAGGGAGGCTTTTCCTCCCTTTCTCATCTTCATGGGATGAAGCTGGGTAAATTGAGGCCAGGCAAAAGAAGGCCTGTTTCGCCCCGCGTAGCGTTAAACAATAGAAGTCACTTCCGTGGGTGGTAGTGAAGGCCATCACTTCGGACAGCCTTAAAGGACTGGGGAGGAGGCGGCTACCATGCTGCTAGTCCTCATGGATAGATGCTCCTCCTGTACCAGAGGGGAAATTAAGTGTGTTTTTACTGCTTATAATCTTTCCAGAGAATTGTAGTCACTGGGTGGCGTAGAAATATAATAATAAATAAGGTGAAACCAATATTCCCTGACTTCCAGATATGTGGTACTGTAAGTCCTGGTATTGGCATCCTAGCTGGGGATGGTGGGAATTGCAGCTTGTCTGGAGGGTACCCTGAACACTGACTGGGCACACCTTTCCTTATCCCCCAGATTTGTGAAAAGAAGCTACTTGTGGTTCATTAATGACAAAGGAGAGAGCACTCTGCACATGCTCTTTTCTCATGTATCTGCCTTTTTTCTTGCCTCTTGCTGAAGCCACCATAAAGCCCCAGGGAACTGGGGTGAAGAATTACCTTGTAGGAGAGCACAGACTTCCGCAACCTCTGCTCTCTTGATATATTGTACTATATTTCCTACCATCCCCCAGAGACACACCCATTGGTCCACCAAGCTGGGGAGCATGGGGGATGTAGTCCAGGACTGGCAGGCCACTGGGGGTTTTAATGTGCCCACAGCTTGGATTTTTTTGGGTGCCTCTCAATCCAGAGTGCGATGCGATTACTATTTTCATCTTGCCTCCACCCAAAACTCTCTGAGCAGATCGAAGCAATTGACAAAACAGTGATACAGTTTAAAAAATTAGTGTAAAATACTGCGTAAAACTTGAATGTGCAATATTTAATTCTGTCTGAATAGTCTGATTTTAAGAAAACTACACCTGGCCCAAACAGCAGCTGCATCCCAGCCTAAGCTGCTGAGTCCCTGGCGGCCCGGAACCAAAAAATGACCGCATTGATTGCGGTGGGGGGAGTGTTTCGAAATCGGAGGCCACCACTGAAAAGGCCCCGCTCTGAGCTTCCTGAGGATAGAGTTCGTTATGGCTGGACGGAGATTGGGCTGCTGTTCTTAAATTCGGGGGAGTGGGGGGGACCTGGCCTGGGTGACGCCGCCTTGGCTCGGGCCCGTTCCTCGGAGGGCCTCCGCACTGACGCGCCTTCCCCGTTCTCCTTCCAGACTGCGGCACGAGGGCTACACAGTCCAGGTGAACGTCAACGACTACCTGGACATCTACTGCCCGCATTACAACGCCTCGGTGCCCGAGGGGCGTGTGGAGCAGTACATCCTCTACATGGTGAATCTGGAGGGCTACCGGACGTGCGACATCAGCCAGGGCTTCAAGCGCTGGGAGTGCAACCGGCCCCACGCCCCCCACAGCCCCATCAAGTTCTCGGAGAAGTTCCAGCGCTACAGCGCCTTCTCGCTGGGCTACGAGTTCCACGCGGGCCAGGAGTACTACTACATCTGTGAGTTGGACACAGGCGCAGCTCTGTCATCCCCTTCACGTGGCCGCCCCGTGGCATGACTCTCTCAGCCCCAGTGCGGGGCCCACGTCACGCGGCCCATTCCCTGGTTCCGTGCAGATCCTGCTTCCCTCCCTCTTGCGAGCAGCCCGGGTGGATGGTGCTGCCCCTCGCCACTTAACCCTCACAACAGCCCTGTGAGGTAGGACAGGCTGAGAGTCCACGGCTGGCCCAGAGTTGCCCAGTGGGGGGTTAGAACTTGGCTCTCTGCAGCGAACACAACCCAGTCCTCTCCAGTCTGTCCTCACAACAACCTTGCAAGGTAGTTTAAGCCTACACACTCATTTATTTCTTTATTGTTAACGTTTTTATATGCCATCCAATACTAAAGTCTCTGGACGGCTTACAGAAACCAAAAAAAGCAACCCTATACAACAAACAACACACGGCATCCGATAAATAAGGATAAAATCAAAGATAAAACCAATTCACTGTTAAAATATTGGGGAAATAAAAAGAGCCATGGAGCTTCTCACTGGATAAACTCCATGGCCAAATGTGTATTAGAACCCAGATCTCCTGAGTTTCACTCTTAATCGCTTCACCAAACTGGTTCCCATTGAGAGGAATTGCCCAGTGCTGGTTTTCCAAGGCTGAATCGCTTCCCGGTGAATCCTGCAGGGCCAGGCACCATGTTGCGTGTCCCGGCCCCCCTCCCGTCACGAGGCCCAAATTCACACTGTGGCATCTTTGGACACAAGCTTGACCTCCCCAAAACATCTCTGGTCGTGCTTATCTCCCTCTTTCCTGTAATTCCATAACGCAGTGGAGACCTTCCTGGGCCCTTCAACTTTCCCCGTTCTTCTCGGTTGCATTTTCAAACTGGTTTGGGGTTTTTTTTCCTGTTGTTGTCAGTCTTACTGTCTTTTTGGCTGAACTTTAGAAGCACAGCGGTGAAATGCAGTGCATACACCCTGGAAAACCAGTCCCAGCAAATCGATCAAGAGCGTATTGATTAGTTTTCTGCCCTGCCGTTCTTTCAAAGGGCGGAAGGGCTGCCTGCATGATTCTCCCCGTTTTATCCTCTCAGGAACCCTGCGAGGTAGGCTAAGCTGAGGGGCAGTTGCCCAGTGATCTTCGCAGCTGAATACAGGGATTTGAACCGAGACCCTCTGACCCCGGGGCTTTAAATGTTCAGAGCTGAGGTGCAAACGCAGGGCAGTCATCGAAGGAAATGAGAGAGGGCCTGCTCTCACCACAGCATGGTCCCCACTGGGTGGGGATGGTGGGTGATGTAGTCCAGCACACCTGGTATACACTTCGTCAGGGAGGCCTTTGGCCACACAGGCTGGGAATGATGGTATTGTAGTCCAGGATACCCTGTTGGCTGTCGCAAACACCGAATACCGTGGGATCTGAATGTGAGATGACTATTATTCTAGTTCTTATTGCAAATAATACTTAAATATCACTTTTTTATGGGTCAGTGAGTCACTCAAGGTTGCCTGCCTGTGCTTGCACTTAAAAACAGAAGCGGGCCCTGTTTTGATCCATTTCTGAGTGCTTCTGCCTTTGGAACGCAAGAAGACAGCCGTTCCGAGGTCGGGGACGGACACGGGTCACATAACAGAGGCTGCTTCCCGGTTTCCGAGGCCCTTGAGAGGCTGTCCTTCATTTCCAGGGCTGGCGCCAAGCGTCAGGAATGGCAGGCACCTTGCAGGGGTCCCCCACGGCCCCCAGCCCTGTCGCTCCTCTTCTTCTTCCTCGCCGGCTGTCCGCCTTACCTCCTTGCATGCACGTTTGCTCTCTCTGTCTGGGCGAGGGCTTCTGAACACGGGGCGAGCAGGGAAGGGCCCATAAATAGCTCTGAAGGGGGTGACTTCCGCCCCCATGTGCCTGGCTGCCTGGCTCAGGGCCAGGGCCACCAAGGCCTCCCCTGCCCTGCTCCTCAGCTGCCCCCAGATCCCTCGAGCCGCGCCGGCACCCAGGCCCCTCCGCACACGAAGCATGCCCTCCCACCGGACTCAGGCCTCCCACGCTCTCGCAGCAAGCACTGACCTCTTCCTGTTTCCTTTCCAGCAACTCCGACGCACAACCACCGTTGGGCCTGCCTTCGAATGAAGGTTTTTGTCTGCTGTGCTTCCCGTGAGTGCTCCCCACACTCTCGCCACTTGGCTGGGTGCATGCACGCTTCACCAGGCGCATCCCTGCCTCTCCCGCTTTGCAAACCGCTTGTGAAAGAGTTCTGTGCGATTCGGACGCTCGGCAAATCCCCTCCCCACTCCCTGTCTCCCGCGTTATGTCTCCGAGAATCTTCGTTTCCATTGCTTTAATTTTTCCTGTTAAAACAAGCTGCTAGTCCTCAGGGGTACATCACCTTATCTTACTTAGGAAGAAATTTTTCTTCTGTACAAAAGAAAGGCATTGGGAGTAGCATTTTTAAAGATTAAAATTCAGTGATACGTCCCTGGTAAAGCACAAGATGATGAGGGTTTGTAAGCATGCAGAGAAAGCCCTGCTGAAGCTTCCTTTTGGGGGCCAGCCAAACTGTTGTACAGGGCACTAGTCTGGGCATAATGATGCCAATCTCTCTGGGCAGCAAGCCCACTACCTCTGATGCTTACAGGTAAACTGCGCCTATGTGTGAAGGCTCCATTTTATTACATTTGGGTAACAGCTTTTGTCCACCCCCACATATTTTCCAAGAGCATAGGAAACTCTTCCTCTGGACAAGGCCTTTTTCTGGGTCCAGGCCTTGACCAAGTCGCTACAAGGGAAGCTGGACAAGAGGAACGTTTCTTTGGCCGGAGGTTTTCCCTCGATGCCCGAGAGAGACTGCTTTCTCTAGTCCGTCTCAGGCGTTCAGACTGCCTTTGCTCCTGTTGTTTGCAAGGCCTGTGTAAACGCCAACCTTGCTCACCACAAGCATGACCCTCAACCACAACGGACAGCCGTGCGGCTTTATTTAATTTCATATATTCTACTTCTGTGCCGCCCAACGGCCGAAGTGCTCTGGGCAGTTTACAGAGAGTAAAACTTCTACAGTACGGCCTATAAATCATTTCCATGCAAACTTTTATAGCGCAGAAAGGGCGATTGCATGTCTGTTCGGCACAATGGCTCCCGGTCTGGGGGACGGGGTTATCCATCGTGTGCATGTCTCTTCACCCCATGAGCCTCCACCACTGTCACCCCACCCCCCACGTTTCTCACCATCTGCCGCATCCCTTGACCTCTTGCTCCCAGGAGGCGTCTCATATGGGCGCAGGATTCAAAGCAGGGGTGCAGAAGCCTCAGGCCCCAAATACAACCGTCTGGGGTGCCGGTCGGGGTTTCCCTGGAGGCCCTCGCCCCTTTGCCCATCTGCTCCTCCTCGGAGCAGCCTCAGCTTTGGCCAGGCTTTTTCCCCATCCCAAAAGCCTGAAGTGGGCGGAAAAGGCCCTTCTTGGCCATGGGCTGGCCTTTGGCCACGCCCCCTGCTGTTGGCCCCGCCTGCCGCTGACTGGCCCGCAGCCCCCGAGAGCTTCTCCGAAAAGAATTTGGCCCCAGAGCCAAACGAGGTTCCGCACCCCTGGTTTGAGAGCGAGAAGGCAGACTCGGTCAGCGGAAACAGGGGAACCTACGGCGGGGGGAGGCAGGCTGGGCGCACGGTCCCTGCCCTCCCCCCTTTGGGCATAACCCTCTCCCCCCATCTCCTGCCCGCAGCGTCGCACTCTGGGGAGAAAGCGGTTCCGACCCTCCCGCAGTTCACTATAGGGCCAGAAGTGAAGATCGAGGACTTGGGTGAGTGAGAGCAGGGTGCCCTTGGCTGGGTGGGGGGCGCTTCCCCCAGCTTAGGCCCCCCCCCCCCTTTGGCAGTGGATCTTCCCCCAGCCCCACGTTGGAAGAGGCCGGGAGCTTCCCCAAACCGGAGCTGGGCAAAGCCCCAGGGCCGTGGCCGCGTTGTCTCCCCCACCGATCCGCTAGGTCGAAGGCACCCGAGGAAGGGGCGGCGTTTTGAGCAGGAGGCGCGAGCTGGGGGAAGAGGGCGCCCACCCCCCCTCTCGAGTCTGATCCCCCCGTTTCTTTCGTTCTTTTTCCCCTCCAACGCTGCAGAAAATTTTAACCCGGAGATGCCCAAGCTGGAGAAGAGCATCAGCGGCACCAGCCCGAAACGGGAACACCTGCCCCTGGCCGTGGCCGCTGCCCTCTTCCTCATGACACTCTTGGCCTCCTAGCCGTGCGGGCGGCCGTAGGAAGGGGGCCGAGCCATCCCACCTCCCCGCGCAGGCCCGCAGCCCTCCCGAGACTCCCTCGGGGTTTGTGCAAGGGGCAAAGCCTCCATTTGAAGGGGGGGATCGACAGCCCCTGCAACGTTGGAGAGGACGGACAGCGCGACGGCGGAAGACCGCGAACTTTCTTGGCCGGGCCGCCCTCCTCCCGTCTCTTCCGCCCGGGCTCCGCAAAAGCAGCCCTGCTTCTCTCGCTCTCTCTCGCCTTTCCCTCCCGCCACGTCCTGGGGAGGCCGGGAGCTTTCGTCCGGCACGGGGACTTCCGGGGACGGCGTGGCTCTGCCGCCCGGGAGAGGCACCCGAGCTCATCAGGGCCTCCACACCCCGCGACCCGCTTGAGGACGGTCTCGCCTCGGCCGTGAGCCGCCTGCTCGCTCTTCTGATGCCCGGGCCAGCAAAAACCTCGGAGCCGCCGCCATCATCCACACGGACTTCGGACGGGCCACGGCGGTGTCGCCGCCGGGCAATGTCGTTTTACCCTTTGGGAGGAAGCGCCGCTCCTGCGCAGACGGGGGCACCCTGTCCCAGGGACGCCCGCGCCGGAGATGGGGACGGACCGTTTCCCAGGCGCTGGGGGCGAGGGGCGTCCTCGCCCAGCCCGGAGGGACCTGTACATATCTGTTGCGTGTTCTGTACAGAGAGAGGCTCCATTATCCGTGTCGATAGATTATATGAAGCTGTTCTTGTAGAGGGTGGGTGCGGGGCGGGCACCGGCTTGCCCATGGAAGCCAGTCTCTTTTGTTTTTCGGGGCGTTTCCCCCCCTTTGTCTTCCGTGAAGACCAAACCTATGCAAGAGGCACAGACACTTTCTCCTTCCCAAGGGGGTGCGGGGCTTGGGGGCAAAGACGACGTCGACAAAAAAATAAGCAAAGGACCTTCTGGGGTCAGGAGTGGGGTGGGGGGGTGTTTCTCTCTTGTGTTTCTTTTTCCCCTTCCTCCCCGAGAGCTTTGGCTGACGATTTTCATATACTTGCTCTTAGTCTATTAAAAAAAATAATAAATAAAAGGTGGAGAAAAAAAAAAGGCGGCGGCCGATCTTTATGGGTGGGTCGCATTGGTTGTCTTTCCATCCTGCCTTTTTCCGACAAGGAGCCCAAGACGGTGTACCTGATACTCCATCCCCTCCTCCCCATTTTGCTCTCACAACAACCCTGCAAGGTAGGTTAGGCTGAGAGTCAGTGACTGGCCCAAAATCATCCCAGGAGCTTCATCCCGGGAACCAGGGTATTCCCACTCCTCTGCTGTGGATTTGCGATTCTGTTGGTCCAGGAATGGTGTTTATCACAGATTGGGTCCTTCCTAATCATTTCTTCTCCTTTTATCCTGCTTCCCCTCCCTTAGTCTGTTCTTGACCATACAGTCTGTTCTTGACCGTGGGATGTGCATTTATTTATCACGCCTAATCCCTGGCAATTACATAGCTGTTTAATTCCCTTTCTTAAGTCCTGAAATCCTTCAGCGATTTGGAGTCCCCAGAGGGGGCCATCTCCTTTCCCAGCAATGGCTTGGGGGTGTCTTGGGTCCCCCCCACATTCTGGAAGGGTGGAATTATTTATCATCAGGAAACGGTTTTCCCAGTCTGGCCCGAATGGGGGGCGGCCAGGAGAAAGGGCTGAGCCCCATGATGGGGCTGGGCCGGCCGGCCAGCCAGCCCTGCAGGGCCGTACTGGGACATCGGAGCTTCTGCCTCCCGGCGCGAGGGGGCCAGCAGACGGCCCCTCGTGAACGCAGCTGCTGGAATATCCCACATCCCCGGGGCAAGACGGCCTCCCGCCCGCGCCCTGGTCATGTTCCTGCGCTGCCCGTGAGTCACAGTCTGGATCTGTGCAGCCTGTCCGGGGCCACCTGGAAGCGCCTGGAAAGCCCGCGCCTGTCTGCCTCGGTTCCTGCCTGCAGGCATCGCTGCAGCCTTCTCCGGGCCACACACAGCTGGTGCGTCGCGGCAGCCCGTGGCCAGATTTCCAGCAGTGAAATCAGATCTTTTTCTGCCACCCACTTTCGCCCTTCCAAGATCGCCCTACCTCCCTTTTCAGGCACTGGCTACTTCTGCATACAACAGCCCTGTAAGATAGACCAACATCATCACCGTCCCATGCCACGGCTATTTGATGGCAGTCCCCTGACACCTGTGTACAACGACCCTGTAAGGTGGGCCTGTGTTATTGGTGACTCATTGCATGGCTATTTGATTCCTGTCTCAGGGAGGCGTCCACTGCTGAATACAGCGGCCCTGTAAGGCAGGCAAGTTTATTCGGCCGTTCCCTCCCATCTTCAGAGACTGCCTGCTTCTGTCTACAACATCCCTGTAAGGTAGGACAGTATTATTCTTCCTCTGCTGCTGCTTGGCTCTTCTCTTCAGGGGCATGTCTCTGCAGGCCCATAGTCTGCCTAAAAGTTCTGGGCAAGGAGGTCACCAAAAAAGTAGGGAACAGCTCATCTGGTTTGCAAGCCTTTTCACAGACGAGACTGTAAACAGTTCCTGAATTATTTCTTTTTTTAGAAAGGGGGGACAGAGAACATGTAGCCGGGGCACATGGTCCCCTGTAACCTCTGGCTACGGCGACCCTGTAAACAAGCCCACGTCAGCCCAGCTTCTAGTCTGGTCTGGTGTTTTTGGACGACGGCACCCAGTCGTTGGCCAAACTTGCTGCTTGGTTGTCCAAAAGATCTGAATGGAACCAAATTTGGAAAAGCGGCAATAAGCCGCAAGGGGCAAGCCATCCTCCCTCTGGTTTTCTTTCTTCTTCAGCAGGCGTTTAGTGTTCCGTGGCTCCTGGCCATGCGCAAAGTTTCTTGCACTGGAATTTAGGCCTGTAGGCATTGGTTGCCCCCTAAATGTTTGGCAGCTCTGTTTCTGTTGGCACTGAATTCTCTAGAGAGGGATGGAACATGAGCTGAGACAGAAAATTAATGAAAATAGTACAGTAATTTATTAGGAAGCCAGTGTGACCTAGGGGTTAGAGTGTTGGAGTAGGACTCTTAACCTACCTCACAAAGTCCTTGTGAAGAGAAAATGAGAGAGGTGTGTGATTTAAGCCTCCTTGACTTAATAATGGATATTATCATTTATATAATTTATATCTCACCTTTTCCCTTGTAAAGAACCCTGATTTTTCTCCTCTCCGTTTTATTTTCACAACACCCTTGTGAGGTAGGCCAGGCTGAGCATGTGTGACTGGCCGTGAGCCTCCTTCCTGAGCGGGACTCGAACTCGGCTCTCCGAGTCCCAGGCCGGCCCTCCAGCCACTCGGCCAAACTGGCTCTCAATGCTGTGCCTTTCACAGAAACGGATGCAGCCTTCCCATTTCCTCCCTGAGCCTCCATTTAAGAAGAGTCCTGCTGGGAGGCTGGAAACCTTTCCCATAATGCCCCAGAACAAGTCCCCGAGGGCCTCGTGGGAAATTCGGATGGCAGATCGCGCTTCCTCTGTGCAACACCCACCGTATCTGGCTAGCACGGTTTCCTTCCGGCACTGCCGGAGGACGGAGTGGCTCCGAAAGTGCGAGGGGGAGAACGCTGCCCCCCCCCCGGCTTGCAGCCTCGGCCTCGTCTCAAGCGAGCTTCAGGGAATCCGGAGCCCGAAACTGGCGCGGCGTGTGCCCTCCCCGGAAGGATGCCCGCAGGTGTCTCTTGAGGCAGCCACGGAGCCGGAATTCGAACTGGGGGCTTCTTGGCCGTCCTGCAGGTCCGCACCCCCTCGCGCGCCCTCTGCTCCCCCAAGCGTCCCTTTGGGATCGACGCTCCGGCGGCTGCCGACGCGGTGCAAGCCGCAGCCTGCCGGAGAAGAGGAAGGCAGGCGAACCGGCTGAACAGGTCCCGTGAATGCAGCCGAGCGGCGGGAGGGACCCTCCCGGACCCCCAGACAGCTGGGGAAAGGGGTGGCTGTGGCGGAGACGGGGGCCTTCCCATGGGCACCCTCCACATCCCCCCCAGGTGGGAAATCCTATTCCTGGCGGGGGGAATCTGGGTGCGGCGCTGGCGCTGCTTCTGCCAGGCGCTGGTGGTGGCTGGCACAGCCGGCAAGCTCCGGTGAGGCTGCTGAGAGCTGTTTCGGCAGGAAAGCGAAGGCGCTGGGCAGCGTGGTCTCTGCCCCAGGGAGCCTACACTGGGGCGAGGTGGGCAAGGCCGAGCGTGGTCCCGAAAGAGGCCCTGGAGTGCCTGGGGAGTTTTGGAAAGTGCGGGGGACTCTAACTAAGCTTCAGGGGCTTCAGGCACCGAAAGTGGACTTTGAGAGAGTCAAAGAAAGGGGTTTATGCCTCAAGGAGACACAAATCAGGGCAATTCCCCCCCGCCAGCTGAAGCCTTCCGGGATGTTGCAGAATCGCTTGGATATGGCTCTGTTCGGCCAGGACAAATTTGGCCAAGTTTTGGCAGTAACAGCGATTTCTCTGGCTGGTGGTGTGTGGTGCCAGCCGTTGTTTCCGGGAGGGAGACAATGTCCCCCTGGCCCCGATCCCTGGACATTGCCCACCCTTAAGACAGCCTAAAAATATATTTAAAATAAATAACCCACAGGAAAAAGATTCAGAAGTCCTTGCACTTGACACTCAAGAGTCTTGACTCTCGGCACAAGCCGACATCACAGGCTCTGTGACAAAGGAGGTGAACTTTGCACGTGCCTAGAGGTATTCTATTTTAAAAACAAGGGCCCCGGCCTCTGCCCCAAAAGAGCCCTCGCTCGGTTGCTGAAAGCCCTGGGATGGATTTTGCCGGACCTGTGGAAAGGGAGGCGCACTCTGTCCGTGCCGAGAAGTCCCCTTCCGCGGATGCCTGGGTGCCGTTCAAGCCTGCTGCCGAGACTTGGCACAGACGAGGCCTCCGTGCCCTTTGACCACCCACCTTGTTTGCGTGGCAAGCCCTGTGCCAGTCACCCCGTGCGGGCATTACCCTTGCTCTAGATAAACTATATATAAGTCCAGCACGACACCTTCTCGCACTCCTGACACACGTACACAACGCTGACATCAGCCCAAACACATTTCGCACAAGTCCTTGGCTATTTCTGCCTCCAAGGTGTACGTGCCTGTAAACAGAGACTCACCTATGGCCCGCTGACGGTGTTGACAAAGCCCGGGCCCTGCCAGAGCGCTGAGCTCACCGTGACCTGCCTCCACCTTGCCGTCGTTCATTGGTGACCCTCCTGGGAACAAGCGTGCGCCGCTGCGACCTTGGACGAGCAGAACCTCGGTCCGTCGATACTCTCCAGCGTTCAGGCTGGAATATTTCCAGCCCTTGCCTCGAGGGGTCGGGAATCAACCCCGGGAACGCTGCATGTGGCCCCGGAGCGATGGCGCTGCAGCTCGGCCCCTCCAGAAGAGTGGATGCAAACTGGACGTTAGCTGGAAGTTAGCTCAGAAATCTCGCTAGCCCGCTTTTAAGACAAGCCACTGTGAGCAAATGGCTAGCCCGGCTCTCTTGCCCGCCCGCCCCCCCCCCCCCACATTTTCTGCACAAGAGGCCAAGGGCTAGACTTTGAAAGCCTGCGGGGAGTTGGGCTTGGACTGCTTCGGACAGAAATCCTAAGGCAGCAATGGTGCCCGTGTAGAGATTTCTGTGGCAGAGAAGTTAGCGCTTCCCCAGGCTGTTTGGATGGTGGAAGGATTTTTAATGCCTTCCCGCAGACGCTTGATACCAGTAGGAGACAAATATTCCATGACTAGCATGTTTTCGACCTTTCTGTGGACTTAAAGGCAGAGCAAGGAGGGGTTTATCCGGTGGTCCCTGGAATGTCCGGTTTTCATCCCTGCCACCTGCACCGCACGGGCCGTGGCTGCCGGAGCTTTGCACCGGGGCACCAAGGAGACCCCCAGCTGCTCCTGAGCAGCCCTCCTGGCAGGCACCAGATCGCTCGCTTGCACCGCTCTTGAATTTCAGACATAAGCAATTCGGGGCCCTTCAGCGATTCGGAGTGTGACTTGGAAAAACAACATCAGATTATGTTACCATAACCGTTTGGTGA